TGATCATGGCAGTTCCCAGACTCAACAATCATCCACTCCACCTAGTCCTAACCAACAATCATCTTCTCATTAAAAGAGCAATCAGTCTGAGAGTCAAAATTCACCTTTACAAGACAATACCAATCTTCAATCTGGCCAAAGTCCAGGTCAAAGTATGTTTCCACAACTTGCAATCAAGGATCTTCATGTCTATGCCAGGAAGATGGGGCCCGGAAAGGATATAGAGCACTCAGTTCCGCTTCAGTCCAGTCAAGAATCTGAACTGAATACAATTTCTTCAGAAATTCACCCAGGTAATAGTTCCTCTGACCCTAGTCCCACTGGTCCTATGGTTGATGATCTAGATATCCCAATTGCACACCGAAAGGGAGTTAGAAACTGTACTCAGCACTCAATCTCTAAATTTGTGTCATATGAAGGACTATCAAAGTCCTATCAAGCCTTTGTCTCTACTCTTGACAATGTGCAGGTTCCAAGTTCTATTCAAGAAGCCCTTAAACATCCAGAGTGGAGAAAGGCTGTGAATGAAGAAGTCAATGCCTTAGAAAAGAATGGCACTTGGATAATCTCAGAGCTTCCTCAAGGAAAGAAACCCGTAGGCTGCAAGTGGATTTTTACAGTCAAGCATAAAGCTGATGGGAGCATTGAGAGATTTAAGGCTCGCTTGGTTGCAAAAGGGTTCACTCAGTCTTATGGGATAGATTATCAGGAGACTTTTGCTCCAGTGGCTAAACTCAACACTATTCGAGTACTTTCTCTAGCAGCAAACCAAGACTGGCCCCAACACCAATTGGATGTGAAAAATGCTTTTCTAAATGGTGACTTGGTTGAAGAAGTATACATGGAGATTCCTCAAGGGCTAGGAAAACTGTCTTATAGCAACAAGGTGTGCAAACTTCGAAAATCTCTATATGGCCTGAAACAATCCCCTCGTGCCTGGTTTGGTAGATTTACAAAGTCCTTAATCAGTAACGGGTACAATCAATGCCAGTCAGATCATACGTTGTTTGTGAAGTTTTCCCAAGACAAGAAAATTGCCATTCTCATTGTTTATGTGGATGACATCATAGTGACTGGAGATTATGAGGAAGAATTACTGAACTTGAAGAAGTACTTGGCCAGGGAATTTGAGATCAAGGACCTCGGTTATCTGAGATATTTTCTTGGGATGGAAGTGGCTCGGTCAAAGCAAGGAATATTTATTTCTCAGAGGAAATATATCCTAGATCTACTAAAAGAGACTGGCATGCTCGGGTGTAAGCCTGCTGACACACCCATGGATCCAACCAAGAAGATAGGGACAGAAGAAGGAAGTGTTCCAGTGGACAGGGGGAGATATCAAAGGCTTGTTGGTCGCCTAATTTACCTTTCTCATACTCGGCCAGACATTGGTTTTTCTGTCAGTGTTGTTAGCCAATTCATGAACAATCCAACAGAAGAACACATGGAAGTTGTGTATAGAATTTTGAGATATCTCAAAATGACACCGGGAAGTGGATTGTTGTTTAAGAAGAATTCCAACAGAGAAGTTGAAGTTTTCTCAGATGCTGACTGGGCAGGAAATTTACTAGATAGACGATCAACATCTGGTTATTGCTCCTATGTGTGGGGAAATCTTGTAACATGGAGAAGCAAGAAACAATCTGTGGTCTCAAGGAGTAGTGCAGAAGCAGAATTTCGAGCCCTTGCACTTGGAATTTGTGAAGGTATGTGGATAAGGAGATTACTTGATGAGTTAAAAGTAAGCAAACAGGGGTCTATCAAGATATTCTGTGACAATAAAGCTACCATAAGCATTGCTAAGAACCCCGTTCATCATGATAGGACAAAACA